TCCTACCCAGGCCCATCAGTTTACTTCATAAGCAATCTGATGTCTTCCAGCAGCTGTTAAGATGTGGCAGCAGACAGGGTTTTTCCCTTTCCTTTAAGGGGTGATTGAGAAGATGCAAATGCTTTTAGTGGAAAAGGAGAAACCGGTTTTATTTCCTTGCCAGACTTCGTAGGGGCTGATGGAGGAAGTTTATGGGGCTGAAAGTCATTAAACATGTTTTTATTCCTTCTTCTGTCTCCTTTTGGTTTTACTGGGGTTTGAGTAAACAGGGTCCGGGGGGAAGGACACCTTTTAAAGTGGGATATGCCAGCAGAAATGAGCTGTTTTTTCCCAGTCCATGCATTGATGAACGACTTTAAATGTTGCTCCTTCACTGTAAAGGCTGCACAAACCCTGCGACGGTCACTTCCCCATCCTTATTGTTAACTCACCAACCACCAAAGGAAGAACAGGGCTGGGATGTGAATGGTGAGGAAACAGAGCATGCTGTTTGGGAGGAGAGCTGGGGACTGAGGTCAGGGATGGGGAGAGCAGGCAGCTGATGGGGAGGGCTCCCTCCCAGGTACCAAGGGTGGTCAGCACGGCTCAGCTGCGTTTTGTTTTCCAGCTCTCATGTTTCATACCCATCTCTTAGAGCAGAACTGATTCAGGAGTGAGGCCAGTTTATGCAGATACACAAATACCATTTTAGAACTCAAATTCAATGACCCAGGGGGTTTTGTACTGTTCTTTTTGTTAACTAACCCAAACGTAAGTCTGTCATCAAGCACTTCTGTTGTGTGCATCCGTGCTCTTCTCTTTGGGTATGTAAGTCATCTGTAAAATGTTCACCATGGACCACAACATCGTTATGATATCTCATCTCAAGAGCAAAGGGAAAAGTTTATGGACTGAAAGGGAAGGAGGAGGGGAATGATTTAATGATGCTCAGAACAGCAGTTTGGGGTTGAGTGGTTTTTATACAGGCTATTTATGATCGTGTCTGTGAGCCGAGCTGGAGCATGATTCGGCACAGCTGTCTGCTGAATAAGGAGCCAGAAAGCTAAGAGAAGTCAAATGGCATTTCTTGATGTTGTTAACTTCAGTCAGGCTCGTGCGCTGACTCACAGAAAGCATGAGGGTTTTGGAAAAACCTCAGGCCCCAGGCAAAGATGTATGAGCTTGCAAAGCAAATTGAGGCCAGCCCTCAGTTCACATTGCTGCTGGGTGACAAACCTGGGCTGGAGATGATGTGCTGCACCGATCCATGGGAGACGGGCGGTGCTGGCTGCCCGAGGAGCTCTGCTCTTCGTGTGCCAGGATGTATAAGTGAAGTGGCAGCAAATGTGGCTGTTCTGGCGTGCCTGGAGGCTCCCTGTGCCCCAGCTCTCTGCAGGCTAAGGAGGCACAGAGAGCCAAGATGCAGGCAGTGGGCCTGCCAGCTTCCAGCTGGGATCTTGTGCGCTGCTTTTGCAGCCCCCCTGCATCCTGGTGCCTAGCAGCTTCTGTAGGATGCCATCATGATGCTTCAGTGCTTCACTGGTGCTGATCACTGAACTTATTGCTTCACATTTTCCTCACTTGTCATCCCCTTTTTCTCAGAATTCCCATTCTGCGCTGAATGGGAGCCTCAGCTCCTCTCTGGGGTCAGCTCAGCAGAGGCAGGTCACTGAAGTCTGGAGACCTTCTCCTTTAGTGCTGACAGCCAAGTGACCTATGTCCCCAATGGTTGCAATTCTAATGCTGTGCAGGGGTGGTCCAGAAGCTGGCTGTAATTCTGGTTCTCCTCTACCCCTATGCTGGGGCACCCTTCAAAGGGGTTTTGGAGGAAGCAGCTTCTCTTCCTCAAGTGCATTCTGCATGAATGGTTCTTGCATCTGACTTGCATGGTAGTTTGTGTCTATGCCATCTGGCTTGCTGCAGAGCCACAGCTGCATTGGATTGCAGGCAGAGGACCCTGAGTTGTTTCTTAGGAAGTCCCTGACATCCCCGTTTCAAGAGCAGATGGGGTTTTATGGGCAGTGTGAACTCGAGCTGGGAAGTGAAGCTCAATGCAAATCAAACTGTGGCTCACGGCGAATAGGAATGCACCAACCAGCAAGGGACCTATTGGCAAGTTTGTAGTGCAAAAGGCTGCTAAAAAGGCTCACATTATTCCTGGGTATGTGGGATTAGAGAGAGGAACCCAAGGCTATGTGTTTTTAAGTAAGAAGACCTTGAGGGAAGGATTGCGATGCTGCCCCAAGGAACAGAAATGTGCTTTAGCTATAGGCATTTGCTTAGCACTGTGACTAGTCTTCTGGAAACCAAAAGGAATTCCCTCAGAGGAGAATGCTGTGGGTCACCCCTGGCCAAGGAAGGAGGGAGTCGTGTTTCCTTGACAGCACATCACGGTTGTGTATTTGTACAGCTGGAGGAGAGTCCCTCACCCTGAGCCCTGCATGTTTTCAGGTCTTTTGAGTGTGCCGGAGGTGCCAGGTTATTAAATGCAATAGCTTTGGTTAAATAGATCATGCAAGTAATGGAGGCGGGGAGTATTTTTAACAGAGCTTCAGATACAGCAAGGCCATCTTTATCGAGCTGGTGTAGTTACTTGCGTTGCAGGTTTCTCAACACTATGCTTTAAGGCTGGTGCAGTGGAGCAGGTGCTCCAGGATCCAAAAGGTTTCTTCAGGAAATAAGGTTTTTCTATGACTTCATTCACGAGGTACTGTTTGCATGGCACAGATGAAGAAGAAAGAAATGACACCGGGGCACATAAACAGGGTACTGAAGTGTGCTATCATAGACAGCAAGGTCTTGAGCTTCAGCACTGGCTTTTGGTGGCTCTCCTTGCATTTCTGCTTTAGTAGGGATCCTCCTTCCCTCTCAGTTACTGATTGTATTCCTGTGTGTTTGAAATGGTGGGTGAGCACACAAGCTGCAAGCAGCAGACGTAGTTGTGAGTTGCTTTCAGAGTTTGTAGGATTGCTGATGGAGTGCATAAATGAGTGGCCTGATGTCTTTGCAAAGCATAAAGCCCCCAAAGCAGCAGCCTTGAAAGAAGCTGCATTTCTAAGCCAACACTGCATAAAGTAGCAGATACTAACACTGATTGGAATTGCTGGAAGAAATAGCAGTAAATAACTAGCTGTCGAGCAGTTTTCCAGGTATTGGTCTGTAATGCAATGGGCAGAGAGCATCTGTGATGCTGCTTCAAGGAAAGAAGTATCTTGGAGCAGGGTCTATGAAAGCTGATATTTGCATTTACTGATTGCTTTTGACCCAGAAAAAATACTTGAAAGAGTGAAGCACTGGGCAGACACTGATCTCTGTGCACTGATAACTGTAGAGGGAAGGCTTTTTTTCACCAAGAGTTAAACCAGTGTTGTTGCAAATCACATAGCAGCACTGAATTCGGATTTGCTTCTGGCCTTGCATATGCAGTATCTCTGCAGGATGTAAACGTTTTCTGTGGGTTTTTCACCTCTAAACAAGAGTACAGCATCCCTGTAAACACAGCGAGATAAGGTAAGAAGATTCCTGCCCCCTGTTTTATTGCTTGCTTCTGTGTAACTTGGTATTCTTTGTTTTAAATAGAAACGTGCCGGTTGAAGGAGTTCTTGTGGGGCTTTACTAGTGTAAATGGGAAGGAGGGTAGGTTTGTGCTGTAAGAAGATGATCTCCAATGAGAACAGTACCTGCATTTGCAGCAGGCTCTCTCTTTCTTCTGCAGTGTCAGATAATCCACAATTAATGTCCTAGAAATAAATCAGTCAACTGGGAGAAGCAGCCTTGGTTGATAAATTCTGCCTTTTCATGACCAAGTGATCAAAAAGTTTCTGGTTTCAAAAGGAGAAAGACAAAAGCAGTTTGTATAACAAACCCCTTGCTGTATAGCTTGCAGGAGGGAATGGCAAAATGTGGGGTTTTTCGATGCACCTTCCAGTTCAGCTGAATGCTTGTGTGCAGCACAAATGGGAACAGAAAATCGTGTGCCCCCTGCTTGGGCTTTAATGGAATACCTTTCTCCTGATTATCCTGTTGTTTTCTGAACTATCTCCACCCTCTCTGTCTTAGTCATAATAGCCTCTACAGGCTGGAAATGTATGGAGCTATTTTATAATTCATTGGCTTTTTATGATGGTCTGAAGGCACCTGAAAACTAGAAGTACATTAAAGTAAAAGCACATTTGTGTTTAGGGCTTAGGCTGTGAATACCTGTAGTGGAAAGCATTGTAACAGGGTAGAAGGACACGATTAAAGCTCTGTTTTGCCAGCTGCTGTCACAGGATGGATTTACATGATTAATGTGTAAGATGTCAGTGGACGCTCAAGAATTATGCAGCATTGCTCTGAGGTTTTGAAAGAGGGATAAAACTTCTTGTAGTACGTGGCCAATTATATCCTTTGGCAGACTTGGTGGGTGGCATGTACTGCCCCGGGGAACTGAAGTTCCTCTCTCATTTCATTAACCATATAGTCAATCTAAAGCTTGAAGTAGGCACCGAAGCTGTGAAGAGCTAAAACTTAGGTGGGCTGAACATCAACTGTGTCATCTTAAAGTAGATGCCTGGCTCCATAGGTGGATGTGTTGCTGTTCCCTTCTACTCCCTGGCTAAGGTAACTGCTGTGAGTGCCCAGGGATGGGGAGGTGTGATGTGGCCTCACCAGTGCTGCGCAGAGGGGCAAGATCGCCTCCTTGAACCTGTTGTGGGACCCAGAGAAACCTGTTGGTACTGAAGAACAAAGCTGACTAAACCCAGTAGAAATGTTGAGAGTCTTCCCTTGTGTTTATCATTCAGAAGATCCTTAATTGTTCATTTAAGGCATTGAAAATGTAATGATTAATGCACTTCCTCTGTAAGGTGAATTCAGGCATGCTTTTAAGTTGGAAACCAGAAAATCTTGTTTGCTGCTTCTACAGGCTGCTTTGTGAAGTGGGAGGATAAAAAGAGAGCTTCAGTTCTGCTGTTACTTGTGTTTCTGTAATGCTTGCAATGGAGTGATTCATTCTTTTCTTTCTCTGTTTTTTGTTACAGTATCAAGCTTTTGGCTGTACAGGAGCTGGTTGATAGAGAAGCTCTGGAAAAGGTATTTTAAAACGTATCTAATTGTCCTAATACATTTAAACTCTTAAGCCCCTGTTTTAGCTGGGCTTCCAGCTTTAAGGAAAATCATGCGGCATAAAATAGGACGTCTACCGTCTACCTAGCTGTGTAGTATGTGAGGTCAGAGGGATGTTGTTTTAGCCAAGTTGATGGCGTGCTTTTGGTGTTTTCTGATCCTGCAGTGGGCTTGGGGTGAGCAGTGCCCCCAGCCTGCTCATATTAGCTTTCCTGAAATCAGTTCCTGCTAACAGCTAAGTAGATGATTTGAACCAACAAAGATGAATGCCTGAAGCAGAGTGAGTGGTTGAGGAGTCCCCTTTGAACATCCAGCTCAGAAGAATGGCAGGAGGTGCCTTGGCAAGAATATGGTTTAATTTAGTGATAAACAGATCAAAGCAGCCAACTATTCCACATTGGTCCTAGCAGCAACAGCTGAGTATATGGTGTTTATTATTAGCTTCAGCTCTCCCCCTGTCTGTCTTGTGCAGGGATAGGCCTGCCTTTAAGCCTAGCCTTCCAGGGAGCTGAGGGATGTGCCATCCATCACTGTCCCAGGGATGGTGAGGTTTGTAAACAGCCTATGCATGGCTGAGGAGGGGGAGACAGAGGGGAGGAACTGTGTGGAGCTGATGGCTTCCTGCCTCCAAGCGATGTGGTCCTGTTCAGGGGGTGCATCCCCCTGGTCCAGCGCCATTAGCTTAACCAAGGTGTCTCAGCAGCCTGAGATCCCACCTGCAGAGATACAGCAAAACCAGCAGCTGCAAAAGGCTGGAGGGTTTGTAAATGAAGCCCGGTGTTGCAAACCAGATCTTTTCCTTCTGCGTGAAGAACCTATGCGGTCTATGATTTTCCTGGCTTGGAGAGTAGGACTGCACTTCCAGAAGTGCTGGGACTGGTGGGTTCCCTTCACTTTCTGCACCTTCATCTAGCAGACCAAGCAACCAGCTGTGAGGCAGCATGGAAATGTAAGAGACTTGGTGGGGTTCAAAGAAAACCCCTGGACTCAGAGCCCTGCTGGGAAAACTGCTGCTTTTGTGGCAGGTAGTGAGCTGGCGCTGGCACAGGGAGCCTCTGTGAGTGACATGGCAAGGAAGGAAGGAAACCTTCTCCTGCCTTGTGCACATCCTGCCTGTGTGAAGGAGAAGGTCCTGCAGCACTGGGGTAAGGCTGCATCTGCTAGGAGCTCTAGAAATACTGCGTATGATGAAATGCAGCAGCCGTGGGTGCTTCAGCCTTGGCTGGGTTGGTGTTTCACAGAGACCCCATGTACAACCCTGTTAGTTCAAGAGGGGCATCTCTTCACTGGCTTTCGTGAGCTCTGATTTTGACCCAGAGGGGTGGATTTTGTTGAAAGGCAGTGACAGATGATGACCAGGCAGGTGATGCTGTAGGTCTTGCATGCAAAGGCATGCTTCTCAACCACTCGTTGTGCAAAACAGGTTAATATTCACACATTGTCACTGCTCACTGCTCACAGCAGTCCGTGTCTCTGGCACCTCACACTCTGTCCAATTCTCACCTCTCTGTGGGGCCCAGCGCCTCCTAACACATACTTGGGAAGGGTGAGTGCCCTTAGCCTAGTGGGAATGGCTGATTGAGGCATTGCCTGGGGCTCTGCAGGAAGGTCTTCCGAAAAGCTCAGCCTCAGGAAAGGGATCTTTCTAAACTGAGCTCTCTGAATATTTGATATCTGCTTTCATACAATGCCAGGCTTAAAGAATGTAAAAGGCCAGATTAGCCCTCTGGAAAATACCAGGGTGGCATTATGTAAGTTCAGATAAATTTGCTGTCTTTAGGTTTTAAATACAGGAGGGGGTTAGGGGAAGCAGACAAGAACAAAATCCCGTGTCCTGCCTGCTTGCAGAGTCAGGTTTTGAGGGCACACGCTGAGCTTTGCATTTGTAAATCATTATTTCCCTGCATTGTATTGCAGGGAAATAAACGGAATGTTATTAAATAGTAATATTTTAATATTAACTGCCGGATTGATTCTTCCTGGGGAAGAGGCGGAGCTCTGGGAGAGCTCCCCAGGAACTCTCACCCCAGGGTGTTTTCCAGTATTTTACTCGGTCTACGTGCTATTTCTAGGTTTGGGAAGTCCTTACTTGCAGATGAAGAATTCTCCTTGGCAAGTGTTGATTGCACCTGTTTTGGGAAGGGGAACAAACTAATTCTCCAGAGGAGCATGCTGTCTATATAGCTTAAAAAGAAATCTGTGCAAGCAACAGACTGCACCGCCTCACCAGACATTTCCCATTGTTGGCTGTTCTGATGGTTAACTCTCTAGTCCTTTTCCATAGGCAACAGGTATGCCAAAATGTTTGTTGGCATTGGTGCTTGATGCCAGTAGGATGTGCAGGAGGAGCCACCCAGTTAAGATGAATATAAAAATACTCTTTTCATTCTGTCAAGTGTTCCCCCTGCGCCTTTCAGGTGTTTCAGGGCTCTTGAACTCATTTCTCCTTCAGAAGTAGGTTATTGAACAATTTTAAGTAATCTGTGCAACAGCCTTATCTTTAGTAACCCCCTGACAGCTTTCTGTTTTGAGAAGGTTTTTTTGGGGTAAAAGCAACAGTAACCCATGATTTTCCTATTTGTGTGTTAATAAGCAGGTGCATCTGCTGTTACTGTTGATGAGGAAGGACTGTCCACTTGATTCCACCAACAGCAGTTTGGTCGCTTCTCATCTGGGAAGTGCAAATCGTGTAACCCTCATCTGTGGTTTGTGCAAGTGTGGAATTCAACTGCAAAGTGATGATTATTCTGCTTGAAGTTGAAAGTGATGGATCTAGACTGGCATGAGAGATACAATGGGTAGACTGAAGGGTGGTAGGAGCTGGGATGAGAATTGTGGTTTTGTTCAGGGTGATGTTCTTGAAGTAGGTGATGACTTGCAGCCTGAAAAAATAGGGTAAGTAAGATAGGCTTCACTATCAAGGTTTGTTTGTGCCAGTGGTGCCAAATTTGTGCACTGTACGCTATGTCCAAGAGGTCAGTGAAAAGCAAGTGAGAAGAACAAAGTAATTATCAGTAGGCTTACGTTGTCTGTATGGGGATTGTCACCCTCAGATTTGGAGTCACAAATAAAAAGGGGTTGAAAGTCTTTCACCTGGTGTTTGGAAGTAGAGTTCCTGTAGCTGCGAAGCACGGGGTACATCCCCTAGGCAGCAGCAGAGGTAGTGATTAACCTCTAGCTGTCTTAGTGCAGGAAGGGATCTCCCGTCTGTGGGCCAAACATTATGTGGTCACCCATTGGGCTTATGAACATGAAGAGCTGAAATGATAGAATGGGAGACCTCTGGTCAGCTTTCTCCTCCACATAGATTCCCCCCTCATTTGAAAAGGTATTTCTGTCTCTTCAAAGAGGATATCCTTGCCCTGTTGAATGAAATGGAAAACTTAGCGCTGTAAGCAAGCAGTTCCTATGATCTGTGCTCATTGCTTTACTTTTCCCACCTCCCTCAGCAGTACTAATGGCTGGAGTTGTCTCCTGTGATGTGGAATCTGTTTCCTGGGTTTTCTCACCCATAGGAAAGACAGATGTCTGTATTTGAGAGATGCGCACTAGAGGCAACCCCTTCCCATCAGGCAGAACTTTCATGTTATGCCTGAGGAATCAGTGAACCCCAACTGCAGTAGATACTGAGCAGGTGATATTGTTTTAGTACAAGAAAATCACTGCCTGTCACTGATCAGAAGCAGCTTCTGTCTGAGGGGAAATGCAGTGACTAATGTTGCCTACTTTTACAGGGTAAGACCCAGGAGATGAGGACAAAAGGGAATACTTGATCCTATCTAGTGGCATCGCTCTAATAGTGCCACTTCAGCTACAGTCAAAATCACGTCTGTGAAACGCTGAGCTGCCCTGTGCATGCTTTGCTGTAGCTGCCTTCTTTCCACACAGCACACAGAGAATTTTAACTCGGAATTTGCTTTTGTTTTCTTGATCTGTTTCCTCCAGATATTATCTGAACATAAAAAGTGTGACGTCAATCGAGGTTCCAGAATTTCCAGTATGAAATGCATCTGCTGCAGGTTTTTATTTATCTTTGGTCTGCTTTTGAGTAGGTCGAGCCAGATCAGTGTTTAATCGTGATTAAGCCCATTGTAATCTCTGTTCTGTCTAAAATCCCTCTCGGAGCAGAGCGGGATGTTTATTTGTGACAGGTTATCCCTTTTTGGTGTTTGGAAGAGGCTGTGCTCTCCATTTCAGGGGTAAGCATAGGCACGTCGCTTCTTGCTCGTGTGGGTATAAATATATTTGTGTGGATATAAATATGTTTGTGCGTGCACTTGCTAGGGCAGTTGGACGTGAGCTGTACCGTGCCTTGACATGGAGCAGCTGGTCACCGCAGGGCATTTGTCTGGCCCGTCACCATTTCCTTGGTGAAAGCACCAAGTGGCTGGTCACAAGTCAATGCTGCCCTTGCAGGCAAATGTTATTCCTTGTATATAAGCAGGCATTGGCATGGGAGCTACCATCAGTGTCTCCTGAAGGAAGAATAGGGAAGGGATAGGACAAGGGGTAACGGGTTAAAACTGAAACAGGGGAAGTTTAGATTGGATATAAGGAGGAAATTCTTTCCTGTTAGGGTGGTGAGGCACAGGGCCAGGTTGGACAGAGCCTTGGGTGACAGGGTTTAGTGTGAGCTGTCCCTGCCCATGGCAGGGGGGCTTGAACTAGATGGGCTTTAGGGTCCTTTCCAACCCTAACCATTCAATGAATCTAAGATGGCAGAGGACAAAGCGAGTTCATAGAACAGGACCAGTTTTGGATAGTCAGCAGTTTTGGGCAAGGGTGTTTTGTAGTTTGGTTGATTTTTAACTTTTTAGTGGATTAACACAGCTGTGAGAGTGTTTTAATTTCAGCCCAAATAATTTTTGGTAGCTTATATGGATTAAGTGATACATATGTTCTCTCTGGGGAACCAGAATCCATTGCATCTGTTAGAGCAGAGCCTTGGTCAGGGTTGGAGGACAGTC